GTATAGCGAGTGGTTCCTTCATAAGCAGGCTGTGAAAATGGCCACAGCATTCCTGTTACTGCTTCAGGTGCCATCTGCTTGTTCTCCCCTGCATAGCCAACTCTACCCTACTCTGCCTTGTAGTTAGGAGCAATGAGCCAGATCATCTTGAGGTTTTCTGCGCTGAAAGTATGCCAACTTATACTGAACTCTCTCTGGAAGAAGAGATACCAAGCAGAAAAATCCTTGCTTTTTGGTTTGGGAGGCTAGCCTGGACCTATTTGCAATGATGAAAGCTTGATTTTCTTTGAAATTAAGCATGCTGAATTGGGGAAGGTGGAAGTGGAGTTCAAGGATGAAGTTTTCCAGGCTCTTTTGCCCGTAGCCCTGTGCTGCTAATACAGATGTAATGCTACAACTACAGCTTCAGCATGGGAAGTATGGGCAATACCTATAGCAGTGTTCTCCAAGTAGATTACCGAAGTGCTCCTGTTCATGAGACAGTGAACATCTGAGACATTTAAATTCTTACCCTTAAAATTTTACACTGGCCAGCAATGATCTGTCTCTTTGCAGTTTTCATCTGGCCCTCTGTAAGAGGGATCCTTCCTCAGCCTTCCTCAAGGGAAGGAGGGAGAAGAGCCGTTGTTGCTTTCCCTGTCATATCTGCAATTAGTGAATTTTAGGCTTATGCAATACCAAAATATTTCCCATAACTTTGTGCTTGTTAGATTTCTGAGCTTGTTTTGAAGCGGCAGAAATTTAGTGGTTTGGAGCTAATGGCGTTATCAGGGAAATGACCCTCTGGGCCTGCTATGTATTTGCTCTTCCCCTGCCCCGCTGCTCCCAGTGTTTGAAATAGATAACGTTTTTGAAGTAGTGCCATGTGCGTTAATGCTGCTGCAGGATGTTAGATGGAAGCCCTTTGTATCTTCTGCACTGCTGGGGCCCCTTTTCCAGTAGATTGGCCCTGGATCTTGTGCCATGGCTGGGAAGAGCCCAGCAGCCTGCTGCTTCCTACTGCTAAGTGATGACCTACTGAGGTGGCCTCTTGTCAGGACAGTGTTCCTCTCTCTGGCGTGCACACTTGTGCACGCTCTCTGTCACAATATTTACCCACTGTCTTCCCCCCCACCCCCTCCTCCCTGCAGGGTGATAAATGGGAGGCTGTGGAACAGCTACCCCATGAACAAGCGGGCTTAAATCGTGCACTCTCATTTTCTTTTGAGGCTGCAGACTGTACCAGCCTCTCCCACTAGCCCTACTCCTGTGTTGTGGGGGGGGGGGGGGGTGGGTGGAGAATTAGAGCCAATTAGCCACGTCATTAATTCTTCAATTTGACGGCTGATATAGCAGGGCCTGAAACACGCTGCTGACCTCGTATAATGGGAACCCTGCTCCTTAACATATTGACGATGGGAGAAGTTAATTAAAATTCCACAGAGAGAAGGTGTCGACTAACCTATAAACCTGTCGCTTCTCGGAACAAATCGCAGCCATCCCAGAAGAGAGAGAGGATCAGAGCAGGAGGGCATGTGGTGGGGGAGGGCCAGGGCAAGGGGCAGGGGAGATGAATTTTTCACTAATAGGTTTTATTGCTTGCTGTCTAATGAGGGTGAGGTATCAAAAAGATAATATCTGGTTTCTAGCAAGGTCTTCTTTGGGGAGCTCTGAGGCCTATGTTTTACTTGCAAGAGCCTATATTTCACCAGTATGCATTCCCTATGCACTTGTGTGCAGAGCTTTTCCTCCCGTGCAGTCCCCATCCTTCTGGCCAGAGTTTGGGTACATCTGTTCCTCAGAGAGGCTGAACGCAGCCCGTAACCTCCTCTTCCTCCTAAACATTTGATGTGCCCTGCTGATTCTCCCTTCTCACTTGCTGGTGTAGATGGAGAGCCCTTCCCTAAGAATGGATAGTTCTGCTCGTGTAGAGCTGGTGCAGAATCGGATTTCAACTGTTTAAGTATTTTGGCTCATCATTGCAGAGAAACCACCGTCTCTCTCTAATGCAGACACAGCTCTGGAACAGCTCAAAACAGTTGTGTACGGTGGGGTAGGAGCAGGGAGCTCCCCAGCTCTAGCTGTTAAAAATTGCCTTGGAGACGTTGCAGATTCCTGACCTGGAGGCTAGGCAGGACTAAGATTCTCTAGGGTAGTCAGGGCTGTGTTCTTACTGAATCCCAACTGTTAATGGGCAGGGCTGACCCTTTCCTTCTTGCTTTTAAATGGTTTCTCCCTCTGTGTCACTGACGCTTCCTTACAAAGTAACCCATACAGCCCTGACGCACATTGCAACTGAGTTTTCTGCTGTAATCCTGCTCTGCTGGGCTACTGCTTTAATGGACAGTGCCCGAACCCCCAAACTAAAGGTCAGTAGGCAAGACCAGTGCATCCATAAAAGAAATGTGTATGGAGTTAACCATAGCCTCCTAGGGATAGTCAGGTTGGCTTCTTCAGCCATGTATATTTGTTCTCTTAAACTGCAGCTCCTATGGCTTCAGGCACCTCTTCTGGCTTTTCTGCTTTGAGTTGTCTGCAGTTTCCCTGCAGTAGTACAGAGCTCCTCCTGTAGATGTGCTGAGATAGGGAGAAAACTTCCTTGTTTTTCCTGCAGTGATGCTGAGCTGGCCGAGGGAGTCTGCAAACAGAATGTGCCCTTAAGGAGATCAAGTCAGGAGAAAAGGCAGTAGAAAGGTACCAGGAGCACTGGATCTCCTCCTATTGCTATGGGAGTGAGTTGTGCTTGGTCCTTTGTTACCTTTTCAGCTGTGGAATGGCCTTGTTAAGAGGCCACACAGATGTGCCTTATTAGAGCATTACTGCCTTGGGACTCCCTAGCTCTGTCCTGCAGGGCAGTGAGGATGTAGAGGGCACTATGCTCCTTCTAGGTTTTCAGCAGGTCTTCTGCATACCTTTGCTGATCAGTGATATCACTTGGGATAGCAGGGCCCACATCACCTGTCACTTTGGGGACTAAAGAAGCCTGAGAGTATCCTTAAAATAGAGTGCCTGTGCTTGCTCTGGCAACTTTTGCTGGTCTCCAAAGCTGTCCTTCTGCAAGGGTTAGTAAAATGCTGTATTTACAGGGAGGCTGCGTACCCTAAACCATGTTTCTTAGCTGCTTGTAATCCCCTTCCCCCCGAGTTCATTTGCCTTTTGAACTCTGCATCATGCAGATGTTGAACTTTCCTTTACTGGTGCTTACTGCAGTGACTTATGTGTGTTCAGGGACCAGGGCAAGCCTGAGTGCAGTGGACCAATTCAAATGTGCAAAGTGAGGCAAACCCAGGGTTTTCTGGTGGAATAGTGGCACCTTCATGCTTTGTGACTCCCTGAGGTGGCAGTAGCCAGGGAAGAGAAGTGACCACTGCACACCATTTAATTTGAGGGATAGGTTTATGGAGAAAATGGGTCTAATTGCTTGGCATTTATGGCTGCAGAAATATAAGGCTGATGATATATGCTGTGCTACTGAAATAACCCTTTATTTAGAGGAAACTTAGTTGCAATGCATTTTTTTTTTGCTGATCATAGAGAAGCTTGAAAACTGTAGAGAGAGAGAATAAAAGCAGACTTTGAATTCATTATTTACCTTGGATTCAGAAATTCCTTGGTGTTGGATTAAAAATGTGTTCAAATTTAAGCTGGCTTCACTTCCTGGGTCTGGCCATAGGTGTTTGCTGTTTAGGTTTTAAATACTTATCATGACAGGTAGTTTCTGTGTTGCACTCCAAGTGTGCTGACTTTCAACCTAAGAAAAAAGATGATGGAGGCACAAAAATGATTTTTTTTTTTTTTAATGTGAACCTGTAGACAGAGAGCTAGGAAGCCTTGGGTGCAAGTTTGGAGAATGCCAGACAACAGTAATGTGCCCTTTTGTGGAAGAGATGTGCTTTTGGTGTGTGAACCCAAAAGATGTCCCTTGCCAACTGTATCATCTGGCCTACTGGAGTACATGATCTCTGCTTGCAAACGTTGCCTTGCTGAAATGCAAGTTTATTCTGTAGAGGAGTAAAGTTTGTACCAAATACTAGCTATGTTATGTTGAATGCTTTTAATTTAAAGGAAAATGGGTAGTTCTGTGAGCAGTGGAATTTAAAAAGCCGGGTTTGTTCTGTCTCTTTACTTTATACCCAGTGTTGTGGTTGAGACCTGACTCCTGTCTTTTTAGATGCTACTTTGCATCTCTGTCAACTTAGTTGCCACTGCCCCGAAGATTATGGGGGTGTAATACCTGGGACATTTCTGCCCCTGCAGACAACTTCAGGCAAACTGTGAAACATACCCAAAACTTCCTGGAGGAAGGAAGGAAGGAAGGAAGGAGAAGGGTTACTGACAGGCACCATGACTGTAAGGGGCCTCTCTTCCCCTGGGAATAATCAAAATGATTAATTTTCAAGGCTGCTTTTTAATCTTGTTTCATTTTGTCAAAATGAAAATCTCCACTCTGATCTTGTAGATTGCATTAAGGCAAAGCAACTCAATTGAGTCAGAGCAACTTTGCAGTAATTTTAACTGTACGTATGGAGCCATAACGTGCAGCAGTTGAAGTCCTTAATAATATTCCCTCTCCTCCCCTCCTTGTTTTGTTGCTCCACTTCTATCAGCAGACATCCCGTACTGCACACGAAAATGAGGTGTTGGCTGTAGTGGTGTTCTGTTTTGACCTAGCTTTGTAAAGTTAACCTCTCTGAGTCTGCTAGGATATGGGAGAAGGAACGAGTTTTTATTCTGCTTTGTGCATTGCCAGCAAAATTGCGGGCAGCAATAGCTCTGCTGTCCTTGGGGATCTCTGTAGAGCCTGGTTGGTTTGAGTAACTGAGAGGACACTCTGACCTGCAGCTGTTTCTTAAGTAGGGGCAGGAAGAACCCTGC